TGCCAAACAGGTGGTCTGGCCCCCCCAGGTGTGTCCATGATGTGCTGCGTTTCTCAGATTCCACGGGAATCTCAAGATTCCCTTTCTTGGCTTTTACCTCCTACAGCCTCTGAAACCAGGATGGTGGGTAAAAGCAAAAACATAATTAACTGACTGGTGGTGCTTCCTGTTCTTGGTTAATAAGACGACGGTGCAGTGGTAGTCCGCGGAGTCTGGCCTTCTGGAAATGGGCTGTGGACTATTGACTGCCAGAGACAGAGAGTCTTGAACAGTACAGGTTTGAAATCTGGGGCTCTGCTTGCATGCGAACTTTTATCCGGTAAATATGTAAATGTATTCTCTCAGGATTTCCTGGATAGCATTGTCTTTTTCTCCTGTTTATTGTAAAAAATATAATGTTATGTACATATATATAATGCTGTATTTTTTAATGTATACATACATACGTACATATTTCTCTCTGTTTTTATATATGTGTGTACATAATGTATCAAAACAAATCTGTGTTAACAGCCTGGTCATCAGCAGACTCTCAGGAACTGCATTTTCTGATGTGGTAGGCAGATTCTTTGTAGATTTGGTGCTCTAACTCCCTTTTTGATCTAGGGTCATCGGTACTCATTTATCTTTCTCGGTTTATTGTTTTTGGGTTTGGGGGCCCACACTGGCTATGCACAGGGCTTTCCCCTGGTTCTGCTGTCAGGGGTCACCCCTGGAGGGTTTGGGGGACCATATGTGGTGCCGGGGATCCAGCCTGGGTCATCTGCATGTTGAGCAAGTGCCCTCCCTGCTGAACTATGGCCCCAGCCCACCAGCATGTTCCTCTTTGTTTGGCTAAGGGGTGATTGGGTTCTGGCTGGTTCAGGGGACCCTGCTATGCTGGGGATGGAGCCCGGACCTCTGGCATGCCAAGCCTGCACTGTCCATTGGGCTATCTCTCTGGCCCCAGCCCAGTCCTCTTCTTATCTTTAATCTTCAGGATGTCTCCTGAGTTTTCTGCGTTGTCAGCCCGGCAGTTGAGACCAGGAAGAGGAAGGTCCCGGGCTCAAGGCCACCCTGTATGACCTCACTTACGTGACAACTTCAAGTGGCAACATGGCTGACGGAAGCTGCTTCCCACATGCTCTCCTCTCTTGCTTTCTTTTATGGGGTTCTTAGAAGAGAATGATGTTGGTCTGAGCACTGTTCTTTGAGGACATGCTGTGGTGGATTTAACCCTTTAGCCTGGACTCACTTCAAGCCTGGGTGGGGAGGGCGCAGAACCTGAATGAGTCTGTGCCCAAAGGGCACAGCCCAGACCACCAGGCCAGGCTTTTTTTTGGGGGGGGGGAGTCATACCTGGCAGTACTCAGAGATCACTCCTGGCAGTGCTGGGGTGCTGGGGACATAATGAGGTGCTGGAGAATCAAACCCAAGTCGGCCCACATGCAAGGCAAGCTTGGTATCCACTGTACCATTGCTCTATCCCCTTCCTTCCTTCCTTCCTTCCTTCCTTCCTTTCTTTCTTTCTTTCTTTCTTTCTTTCTTTCTTTCTTGGTGGTGTCAGGGACTACTCCTGGCTCTGTGCGCAGGGATCACTCCTGGCAGGGCCTGGCAACCCTGTGGGGTGCTGGGCACCAAACCTGGGTCAGCTGCGTGCAAGGCCAGCACCTTTCGCACACGGTCATCAGTACCATTTCCTGTCTCCCAGCACCAACATCTTCTCTTTGGGCTCCAAACTCTGGATTCTTTTCTCCGGGGGCGGGGGAGGGGGATTTGCAAGGGGAGGGGTCATTGGAGGGAGCCGGCCTCGGGGTGTCACATCTGCAGTGACCTCCCTCTGCTGCGGAGGGAAGGAGAGCTGCTGGAATGAAGTCTCTGGGGAGGGGAGGCATTCCACACCCAGCTGGTTTCTCTCCCACCACACAGATGTGCTGAAATGGGAAGGAGGGTTGGTGCCGTTGGAGGCCAAGCCTGCAGACGGGTAATAAATGAATCTCCGGGCCACGGGAAGGCAACGTTCCACTGAGTCGAGACAGGAGCCGCCCCGGGCTCCAGAGCTCCAGGGCTCCAGGTCTGCCAGACCTGGGAAGTAATTTGGTTATCAGCGGGCCCTGCCTCCCCACTCTCCCGGGCAGCCTGAAGCCGCTTCCCAGCCAGGCTGTGGCCTTTAATTTCTTTAATGTGTGACACTCCCCCAGACAGGCTTGACATTAATACGCGTTCCTTGCGGTCCCCAGAGCTCATGAAAGCTCATTATCAGCTTGGAGCTGGTAAATGCGACTGCCGGCTCAGGTGGGCTGGAGCGGCCCCCGGCGGGGGTGGGGGGCTGGGGAAGGGTTCTGTGGCTGTGGGCCCGGAGGAGCCCAGAAATCAACTCCTGTGGCTCAGGCAGACACTGAGGCATGGGACCATAGGAGGGGCCTGGAAAAGTCATTCTTTGAGAGGTGGAGCAGAAGGGGACATTGGGGTTTGGGTCACACCTGGTGGTGCTCAGGGCTTCCTCCTGGCTCTGCACTCAGGGATCCCTCCTAGAGGGACTTGGGGGAGCTTGTGCAGTGCTGGGGATCAAACCCGGGTTGACCATGAGCACGGCAAGCATCTGACACCGTGTCTGCGGGGCAAAGCCATCCTCTGCGCTGAACCCTGGGCCCGAGTCTGCGCTGCTCTCTAAGGTGTGCAGATCCAGGGCGCAGGAAGGAGTTTGAACGTGGACGGGCCACGCTTGCCACTCCCGCTGACCACTCGCAGGCACCCGGGCTGGACCCTGCCTGGACATCTCCACACATCCACAGGGTGTGCGGCAGATACGGGGTGATCACAGGGGGAGATGGAAATCCCTCCCTCCCTGCCCCTGCCCACTGTGTCCTGGGTGAGGGAGTCTGGGATGGCCATGACCACAAAGGATGCTGGACAGCCAAGAACAAACGAGGCCACTCTCAGACTCCTGGTAAAGGGGACCACCTGAGCCGGGTAATAGTGAAGGCAGATGGTCAGACCCCCATTATATGAAGGGTCAGGCCATCTGTGTGCCACCCCCCCCCACACACACACAAACAGACAGACATACAGACAGACACACACACTCATATCCCCCGTGTGATGTTCAGATTTTCTCAGTACGGTAGTTGTATCTGATAGATGCTGGCAAGAAGAGCTTCATTGCAGTTAAACATGAGACTTGCACATGGGAGTGAGAGTGCAGCAGGGAGGCACTTGCCTTGCACGTAGCTGACCTGGGTTTGGTCCCCGGCACCACATAGGGTTCCCCTGAGCCCCTCAAGGAGTGATTCCTGAGCACAGAGCCAGGACTAAACCTGGAGCACTGCAGGATATACCCTCACCACCCCACCCCCACCTCCAAAAAAATAGAAGAAAAAAAATTGCACACGTGTCTATTATGTTCTTGTGTATATATTTGTGATACCGACACACTGTATATACATGGGCTGTATACGTTTAGATGTATATATGTCTCTGTGTGTGGAAGCAAGTCCCACCCTACCACCCCCATCCCCTGCAATTTGAGAGGAGAACTTTCCCAAGAAATCTGTTGTAAGCTGATTGGACAAGTGAAGAAACAATTACCTTTAATTTCTATGGACATTTCAGAGAAAATACCCAACAGACCTGGCAAATGATACCAAATAACGCCTATGAACTAAGAGAGCACTTGTGGAGAGTAGCTGCAGGTCACGAGGTGAACAACAGGCTGGCGGGGTAGTTCTGGGAAGGGGCTTCTTCATGCTCGACTCCAGGCAGCTCCCGACAGCAACACCAGCACAGCAGGTTGTTCTGCTTTTTTGGACGTTTGTCTCAAAAGCAGAGATGCTCTTGGATTTTCTTGTTGTTTGGGCCACACCCAGCAGTGCTCAGGGTTTACTCCTAACTCAGTGCTCAGGAGTCACTCCCACTTGGCTCAGGGAACTGTTTGGGGTGCCGGTGATTGAACCCACATATATCACATATCACGGCCCTCCCGTTGTTCATCGATTTGCTCGAGCGGGCCCAGTAACGTCTCCATCGTGAGACTTGTTGTTACTGTGTCTGGCATATCGAATACGTCACGGGGAGCTTGCCAGGCTCTGCCATGCAGGCGAGATACTCTCGGTAGCTTGCCAGGCTCTCAGAGAGGGGCGGAGGAATTGAACTCGGGTTGGCCATATTGGCTGCGTGCAAGGCAAATGCCCTACCGCTGTGCGAGGTGATTGAACCCAAGTCAGAGATATGCACAGCCAATGCCCTACCTGCCGGATGTGTTATAGCTCCCACCCCTGGATTTCTTTTGATGAGGGAAAAGTGGTATGAGAGTGGGTCTTTCGTAAAAGTAAAGGGGTCTAACAGGAACTCACACAAGGCAGGAGATGCCTGCTGTGTGCGTGTGTGTGTAAGCATGTGTGTATGTGTGTGCATGTGTGTGCATGTGCACGCATGTGCGTGAGTGCATGTGCATATGTGTGTGCACGTGTGTGCATGTGTGTGCAAATGCACACTTGTCTAGGCAGATCTGTTTGTGCATGTGCATGTGATGAATTCCCCACATCGCAGCCTGCCCACGATTGGCATGGGGTGCTGTGGGTGGACAGTGCCCTGAGGAAGAGATCACCAGATCCACCTGGATCTCCTCCGACCTGGCCCTGTTTCCATCTGCTGGCGGGAAGCTGTGGCCAGCTTCCATGTAGGCTGCTCCATGCTGGCACCTGGAGAGTAGAACTTGACCTCACTGCCCTCTGTTTCCCCATGTGCCTGGGCTTGACAGTCCACAGACCTGCAGGTCCGCCCCCCCTGCACCGTCTCATGACAGGACCTTGGGCACTTGCTGTGGGACTTGACTCAGCAGTGCTGGAGACCGTGAGGGTCACCCCCACAGTGCTCAAGGTCATACCTGGGGGTGCTTGTGGGGAGGTGCCTGGAAATTCAGGAATTGAACTCAGGGCCCAGCTCTTAACTATCCCTGGCCTTTTAATAACAACTCTCTCTCTCTCTCTCTCTCTCTCTCTCTCTCTCTCATGCACGCGCAGAGCAAATCCTGAGACTGCCCAGAAAGTGCTGGAACTTTCTCCCCGCCCCCCGGAAGGAGCAGACTCCAATTGAAAGAGGTAGGATTTGGCGACAGGGCCCCTCTCAATGTATTCCATTTTTGCTCATAAATTCCAAATTTGATTATACATGGATGGACATGGAGAGTATCATGCTGAGTAAAATGAGTCCGAGGGAGAGGAACAGACAAACACTGATTTGTGGGATATAAACAAAACAGAGTATGAGACTAATAGCCAAAGACAGTAGAAACCAGGGCCGGGAGGACTGGCGGTGGTTGGAAGCCTGCCACAAATGGGCCGGAGAGGGCAGTTAGGACAGAGAAGGGCTCACTACGGCAATGACAGTTCAGATGATCACTCTGGACAGGAACTGGGTGCTGAAAGGAGAGAGGAAAAGTCTCTGCCATGGAGGCAGGGTTTGGGGGGAGGGGGAGGGAGGGAACCTGGGGACACTGGTGGTGGGAAACGTGTACTGGGGAGGTGGGGAGGGAAGGGTGTTGCAACATTGTATGACTGAAACCCAAGGATGAGTAACTCTGTAACTGTGTTTCTTAATGATTCAGTAATTTTTTTTTTTAAGAGGGACTGGGCTCTCCTCTCCCCTCTCCCCTCTGTCCAGACCTGGTCTGGGTGTGAACGCGGGAAGCTCTCAGCTCCTGCTGGGCAAACAGAGGTGTCCTCATTCCCCCCCCCACCCCAACTCAAGATGTTCGTTCAGGGTTGGACATCCAGTGAGACGGGTGTACCCCGGTGCCCATGGTGAATGGGTCAGATGCGCACTGGCCGTCTTCATCCCCACTCACCCGCCTTCCTGGGCCTCCAGCCGTCATGTCTTGCCTCCAGTGGCAGAGATTATTTTCCCTGCGTGGGGGCCCGAGATTCCCCTGAGATAAACCTGCCCGAGGTCCGACCGAGATCCGAGCGGGAGGCAGAGGAGGGTGTTTGTGCCAGGGTCTGCGTGAGCGCCCCCACCCTCAGGTGTCTGGGTCCCGAAGCCCACCGGCCTTCCCCCATTTCCTGCTCTGCCTCCTCACTCAGCCACCCCCAACTCCTCCCTTCCCCATCGAAGCGCTTGGTGTAGCCCAGAGGCTGTCCCGGCTGGTTTTCTTAGGAGAAAGCACGGAGTGGGGTGAAGAGAGGGAGAGGTGGACAGCCTAATTTCCCAGGACATCTCTGCCAGGGGCTGGAGCAATAGCACAGCGGTAGGGCGTTTGCCTTGCACGCAGCCAACACGGCTGACCCGAGTTCTATTCCTCCGCCCATCTCGAAGAGCCCAACAAGCTTCCAAGAGTATCTCGCCCACACGGCAAAGCCTGGCAAGCTCCCCGTGACGTATTCAATATGCCAAACACAGTAACAAGTCTCACAATGTTACTGGGCCTGCTCAAGCAAATCAGTGAACAAAGGGAGGACAGTGACAGTGATCTCTGCCAGGGACCCGCACAGGTGCTGTGTCTTCTTCACCTTCCTAGGGTAGGGGTGACCCTCACCCCTCTTATTAGCCAGGAAACTAGCCTGAGCCTGGAGCAGATGCAGAGAAAACCCCGCCGGGAACCATATGGGCAGTGGGAGCCGGCCCGACGTTGCCCGGGTTCTGCCCTTTGGGGGCTGTTAGACCAGGAGGCAGCTAGGGACTCCATCGCCCCCAGTCTCTGTTTTCTCATCTTTAAAATGGGTAGATTTTATAGCTCGACCCTGCAGGGCAAAGACAGGGGATGTGTCCAGTGAGTTCTGTGTGTAGTGAGCAGTGACAGCCCTGGGAGAACCTGTGCCACCTGCCCCCATCCTCCACAAGGTGACCTCTGCGACCAGGATCTTCCCTTGGGATGTCAGAGGGGCGGTGTTTGTCAGCAAACAGAGGGTGTTTCCCTGGAGACACATACCTCTCTCGGGGTGCGTGGTCTAAAATAAGGCTGCGAGAGTCCTGCGCTGTGTCAACTGCCCGTCGCCTCACTCCCGGCTCCCCGAGGTGTGAAAGGCTCTTCCTGAGAGTATGTGGAGATAAGAACGTGCCCCCCCCCCATTGGAAAGTGTTGGAGGGGGCACGGAGTTGACAGGGAGAGGCGTAGGGTCCCTGGGAGAGGGAGGTGGGCACAGTGGTGTGGGACTTTTATGCATGAGAAACCATTATTAATAGTATTATAAACCACAGAATATCAATCAATAATTTAGAAAGAAAGAAATACACACACACACACACAACAGTGCATAGACAACAATGAAGCATGTCCTCAGAGGAAGGAGTCCGTCTGTGTTGCCAATGAGAAGGTGGGGACAGTCTCTCCAGGACGTGGGGTCTCTGGCCCTGCTATCCTGGCTGCAAGAAGAGAAGACTGAGCAAAGGCGGCTGGCCTGGGGCTGGAGCGATAGCACAGTGGGTAGGGCATTTGCCTTGCATGTGACCGACCTGGGTTCGATTCCCAGCATCCCATATGGTCCCCCAAGCACCGCCAAGAGTAATTCCTGAGTGTAGAGCCAGGAGTAACCCCTGAGCACTGCCGGGTGTGACCCAAAAAGCAAAATAAATAAATAAATAGGCGGCTGGCCTGAGTGGGTGAGGGTCCCGCCCAGCATGCAGGGGGTCTGAGGGCAGGGCTGAGAGGCAAGAGGAGGGGCACAAGTTGTGGAGGGCGAATAAGAACGGGCCCACGAACTGCCTCCAGGCGCCGTTTAAGCGCATTAACGACCATGATCCAGAGACTCACAAATGAACCTCGGAACCGAGCAGCTCGCTTCAGAGATAGCTCCAGACCCCAATTATTTAAATTTTTAGAATCCTGGGAGTGCGGAACTGGAAAAGCGGCAGCGTGATATCTCATACCTTTTTTTTTCTTTCTTGTTGAATCACTGTGAGAAAGACTCTTACAGACTCTTGTACGACTCATAACAAGCAATACTGCACTGTGGCGCTGTCCTCCCGTTGTTCATCAATTTGCTCCAGCAGGCACCAGTAATGTCTCCATTGTGAGACTTGTTGTTGCTGTTTTTGGCATATCAAATACGCTCTGAGGAGCTTGCCAGGCTCTGCCGCGTGGACAGGATACTCTCAGTTGCTTGCCGGGCTCTCCAAGAGGGTAGGAGGAATCAAACTTGGGTTGGCAGCGTGCAAGGTGAATGCCCTACCCGCTATGCTATCATTCCAGTCCAACAAGCAATCATTGTCACTATCCTCCTGTTGTTCATCAATTTGCTCGAGTGGGCCCAGTAACGTCTCCATTGTGACAACTGTTACTGTGTTTGGCATATCGAATATGTCACGGGTAGCTTGCCAGGCTTTGCCGTGCGGGCGAGATACTCTCGGTAGCTTGCCGGGCTCTCCGAGAGGGGCGGAGGAATCAAACTCGGGTCAGTCAAGTTGGCTGTGTGCAAGGCAAACGCCCTACCGCTGTGTCACCAATTGTTGTGAACAACTTTAGCACTATAGCACTGTCCTCCCATTGTTCATCAATTTTGCTCGAGCGGGCCCAGTAAGGTCTCCATTGTGAGACTTGTTGTTACTGTGTTTGGCAGATCGAATATGTCACAGGGAGCTTGCCAGGCTTTGTCATGAGGGTGAGATACTCTCGGTAGCTTGCCAGGCTCTCCAAGAGGGGCGGAGGTAATCGAACCCAGGTCGGCTATGTCGGCTGCATGCAAGGCAAAATGCCTTATCCACTGTGCTATCGCTCCAGACGTGAACAACTTTATGAAAATAAAATTTAAAAAAAAGAACGGGCCAGAAAGGACCATCTCTCACCAGCCTGCGCAATTCCCGGGATGGAGATGGAGGGCAGGTGACCAGCCTGGAGGAAGTGGGCATGACTGTGCTTGGTTTTACCCCCGTTTCTGTGCTGACTGCCTTTGTGGGCTTTATGGGCAACACCGAGTGCCCTGATGGCGGAAAGCAGACTGCCTGCTGCTTGGGAAGGAGCCAGCATCCCAGGAAGGGGGTTCTGTCATTGTGGGGAGCGCCAAAACCCCATCCGCCTGCACTTCCGGCAGAGAACTCACGCCAGGATGGGTCAGCGGCTGTCCTCAGGACCGGCCTCTCTCTTGCCCCTGCCTCTGTGTCTGGGATGATCCACGTGTGAGGGGCTGGGGGATAGGTTCTCTCTCCTGCCATCTCCTGCTTTTCAGGCCTGCATTTGCCAGAACTTTCTAGACATGGGCCAACCTCTCCCCTAGCCCCCCGCCCCCACCCCCTGCCACCTCCCCTGTGGGACTTTGCTGTCCTCTTTCAGTTCCTGGATGTGAATGAGCCTTTGCTTCCTCTGACAAGCTGCTTCCCACTTGCCAAAGGTGTCTCATCCCCTGCCCCGTTACCTTCCCTAGAGGAAGTGGAGTGCATGGATCTGTTGTCCCCTTCGTGACTTCTGATTTGGGTGCAGTGGTGGGGTGCAAGACAGCCAGACACGCAGACTATTCAGTCAGTGGGCGACGCCTCCCTGACTCAGAGGAGAGATAAGAAGTCTTCATCCTCCTCAGGGAGAGGAACGCACAAATCATTGCATTTCTTGTTGTGCAACCCAGTGAGCAGAGAATGCCCGTAGAAGACCTGTGCATCATTTTCTGCTGCCGTATCCACACAGTGAATCATGGTATGGCTGAGGGAGAGTTTGTAAACCCCCAGAGGTAGGAAGCAGGGCAGGGCCCCCCCATCTTCAGGGCCACCATCTGCCAACAGCACAGACGGGTGGGAGTGGGCAGCCGCCAAAGGCTCAAAGGTCTGGCCCACATGATTTGCATGCCGGAACCCTAAGTTCCCTCCTCAGCTCCACATGACTCCCTGAACTCCAAATGCTGCTAAACTCGTTTCTGTTTGGTGCTGAATAATATTTCACTGCATGGGGTTACTGCAGCTTATCCACTCACCTGTTCGAGAACATCTTGGTTACCTTGACATTTGGGCAATGATGAATAAGGTGGCATCAACGATCATTGATGTCAGGAGAGGGGTTCGGCAGGGTGATACCATTTCACCAAAACTCTTCAGTGCCACCCTCGAGAACATCATGCGACGACTGGAATGGGAAGGAATGGGAGTGAAGATAGATGGTCGGCAACTACACCACCTCCGC